CCGCTTCGCGTGGGGTGGCCGCCCACACCGCAGGTTTATTTCGGTCCGTGAGAGGGGCTAAGGGTGGTTTTCCCCCGTGGGGGCTCTTCAAGCTAAGAAGTTTCAATAAGAAATCCTTCCAAAACATTGTTTTTGACAGTGTTTTTCCAATGTTTCCAGTCAAACACACGGTAATTTACACGTTTTTTGCCATAAAGGCAGTAAATCCTTCCAAAACATTGCTTTTGACAGTGTTTTTGTAATGTTTCCAGTCAAGCATACGGTAATTTACACGTTTTTTGCTATAACGTCAGTCCAAAACACTTGTTTTTGCAGTGTTTTCAATGCTCTGGCATCCAAAAACCCTGCAAAATCTTGCTATGTACAATGTTTTTTTCATTTTTGGCCGTTTTTCCATTGCCGGAAAGCTACCAAAATGACCCAAAATTCCATTTCAATACCCTCTTGCGCTCAGACACCCAAAAATCCTCGAAAAATGTCGAAAACACCACCGTATTCTGGTCTCGGTGCGAAACCGTTTTTGGGGTCTGGTCTCGGTGCGAAACCGTTTTTGGCCCCCCCCCCCAGCTAAAGCTGATATAGCGACTGCTATATTAACAAATGTCATTGAGCATTTAGTGTTGCTGTTGCCCCCCAATAAGCACGCCTTCACCGCCAAAGCGGTGTGGGCGGATTTATAGAATTTACTCACAATGTGTGTCAATTTTCATGGTGGAAATGATGGTAAACATGAACCATATGAAACCATCAAATTTGGTGGTGCCATGCGGTCAATTCCCATAGATATGGGAGTTTCCCAAAGTTGCTGTGCCCATCTTAACCATTTGTTTCCCAATGATTCATTGCCAGTAACTTGGATTATGGTTTGTCGTGATGGATGGTGCATTGAAGATGTGCCATTTATGGTGATTGCCATGTTGGGATAAACTGAAATAAACATCGTTGAGGCTGAAGATGGGCCAAAGATGTCTAAATGTTAGGTTGGAATAGATGAAATGTCTAAACATCATCTAGCCCTCAGCAATATTCCAAACCCTCTAACATCGAAGATAAACCAAGGGTGGAATATTGTTGAGGGTGAAATGAATATGGGCCATATATGGGTCCACCGTGATACCCTTCAGATCCCTCAAGTTGTGGACCCGCAGAGGATTTGATGGGATGAGTTGAGCGCTTCTTTTCTGGCGCAAAGTTCACGAAACCTGTGAATCGAAGATGGAACATCACCATTTTTCATGGGAAAATCACCATTTTTCATGGGAAAATCACCATTGTTTCTGTTCAGTTTTTTTGGAATCCAACAAAATCACCATGTGTTTTGTTTCCGGTTGTCTTACTGAACTGTTTTCTTGGGCCGGAAAGCACCTGAAATTTTCACAACATCGGGATACGCCGCGGCAGGTTCTGGTACGGTTGATCCCCTGACATTTGGGAAGAACACTATGGGATGACAAGGGAAAAACACATGGCGAAAAACATCCGCTGACTTTGCATGAAAATAGATTTTCAAATAGATACATCAGCTGTATTGGACTATATTGGATATATATATATACTGTATACATATATATATATATATTACATGGTACGAATTTCGGAAAATGGATTGGGACAAATGATACTGTATTTTGCGCATCTGCTACTGGAAAGCCACTCTGGGCTTCCCAGTTCTGAATACATTTCGAAAGGTCCCCCAAGTTCATGGGTCGATGCGTGCTTCGCCCTCTCCAAAATTCATGGCCCACTAGATGTTGGCCGCTCCTTTATTCATACCTCGTTTGAGTTATACACAGCATACATGCTTGTTGTATCTTTGTGATGGACAGTCGTTGGTTTACCATGAGGCAACTTGTCAATAAATCAGGCTGTCAGGCAGTAATTTAAGAAGCCCCAACGCTGTGATATTCAGAGATTCCCATAGCCAGTTGAATTGGGTGCATTTGTTCAGCGACGATTGTCCCATTTGATCAGTCTATACCCAGCATATCCCAGCATTCTTGCCCATATTAGCATCCCCAATTTAGCCCAAGATCATCTCCATATTTCAGTGCTCCTCTCCACTGTATTCTCCAGGCTATGTTTGCTGAATCCTTACAAATGATATCCAGATGTTGCAGTTCCAGATGTTAACAGCTCATCACAGCATCTCAGTTCCAACTATCAGATAGATCAAACATGGTCAAGCCATATCAAACCATTGTGTAATTGTAATTATAGTATATATATATTATACATATACTATAACTATTATAAATCCATCATTTAGTTGATGATTTCTTAGATTTTGATTCGTTTGTCAACAACGCGAACTCGCCACCTCTCACTCCCCGGCAGCTTGGCTCCGGTGCTCTGCGACTGGTGGACTGTTCTCCTGGACACTCCTGGAGGTGCCATAGTGATGACCTGTTGCTATGGGACCAACATGCTGCAACTCATCATATGGGGCTTTCCAAAAAAATGGTCCATGGTCGTAATATCCATTAGTATGGTTAGTTGGTAATGATTTTCATAGTGGTTAGTAATGATATATATATATATATGATTTGGGGGGTTCCATAAATGGAGGATCCCCAAAAAATGCTGGATCGTTTTCCTGGAAAATCCCATCAATGGATGATAATTGGGGGTACCCCTATGACTTCGGAAACCTCCATATGGTGCCCATCATATGGGGGATTTGCTTCGCTGTTGCCTGCTTAAAGCCTTTGGTCGACGAACAAATAGAGAACTGGAAAATCACCCTTTTTCATAGGTAAATTAACTAGAAATCAACTACCATTTTCCATAGATTGTGTCAGCTATGTTAGCTTACCTGGTTTTTCATGATGATCCTGATTGACTAGTGGCCTCTCGATTCTTGGGACGAACATGTGGTAGCAACAATGGGTCAGCCAAGACAGAGGGGGGAGGACTGTTATATTTTGGCATATCTGCAGGGGACGGCGGATACAACTGATTTGTATATCTAATCATCCTGAATCAAATAGAATGTCCATCTATTGTTGTTGTGGGTGTTCATCTGAATCCAGATTTTATCGGATTACTCCAGGATGACTTTCTCTCTCTGTATACATATATATATAAATATATATATATATATGTATATGGGATGGTTCATTATATATACTTTCTATCTAATTGCTCCAGGATATTATAAATAGGCCCCTAGATGGGATGGTTCAGTGAACCAGTGGTTTTTGTTTTAGACCAGGCGTACTTTTCTGGGTCGTCAAAGAAAACCAGAACTTTTCTGGGTCAAACTTCGACAAGTGAGGATGTGTGTGTGCGTGTCGTGGATGGTGTTGAACTTGATTTCTGTTTGTTGTTTTCATCATTACTGTTTGTCCATATGTTTGTTCGTTCAACTCCAAGTATAGCTGGGAAAACCTAGGTTTTGTTGGTCAAATCACCGTTCAAACCATGATAAAATCGACGGTACGGTAGAGCATCCAAATTGAGCTGGGACTCGTGACCCACCGAAATGATAGATGGTTAATAAGGTTTTGTCAGTGGTTGGTTAACATTCGCCCTCAATATAATACTAAAAATAGAAAATAATAAGCTCTTACGATTTTGTTGGAAGGATGACGTTGAATCTCCATGATATCTATACATGTATGTGTGTATATATATAATAGATATATTATATATGTATTAGATATTTCACATTATATATTATATATGTATTATATGTTTTACATTATAATATATATATATATATATAATATTTATAATATGTATATATATATATACAAAATATATTCCCGTTTATATTCCCATTAATCATCCCCATGATGGTGTTCACATTCGCGGACTGCGACGGTTCAAGCTGTGGCTGTTGGGGACGAGTCCGCGGCAAGGCCAGGGCCAGGGCGGGGCGTTGTGTTTTGGCCGGGGTCACCACCGATGATAGGTAAATAATGGTAAATATAGGTAAATAATAGCTTAATAGCAACTATGGCTATAAATTTGCCTATAAAATCATGGTTACTCCAACCCATAGGCAAATAATAGACAACTTTGGAGGGGTCGGATATTTCACCTCTACATATTAGCCACGAAAAAATCGACCAAAAGTATCTGGGGCGTTGGGAGCAACCATGAATTCCATGAGAATAAAGATTGAGTATATGCGTTATATGGGTATGGATATGAATGGGTTGAAATTGACAGGGGTACCACAGGTTTTGGTGGTATACTGTACCTCGTTTCAGACACACCCATATGTTCGAAAGTATTCAAGATGCATGGCAACCCCAGTCAGCTCCAATCTGTCATCTCGGACCAAAAGCATCACCTCTCCGTTTCACAGGTGGCATGACGGGTACAGAGCCCCTCGGCCCTTACAGTTTTTCAGAAGCTGGCACGGCTGTGGTTGTGATCGAAAGGATTGCCAACATGTCAATGTGTTCCCATCTAAACGTCATCTCTGCGGTATATACCCCTTGTTCTTGGACGAAACGCTGTGAGTCAAAGCAAAGAAGCAGAACGATTTGGTAGATCATGGCAGAAAATCAGAATGATACCGGCATATATATGCATATATATATATATACTATATATATACACATAATTATACATATATATATATATAAATAAATTTACATACATATATATATATATATAGATATCAGCATTATTATAATAGGGAAGCTCATGATCAACCACTGGATTTCGTTGAAGGTGAAAGACCAACTGGATGGTGATTTCCTCGGTAAAAGTTTTAACCGTGTCAACAGGGATCAAGTTTGAACCCCTGGTTTATGAAAAGTGACTTCGCAGGCAACTGAGGTAAAGGTGATGAGGCAAACAGATCGAAAGTGGGACTGGACATGTGGCTAATGACTTTTTGGTGCTTAGAAAGGAATGGGGGAACGCCTTTTTTGTCAATAGTTGTTATATAATTTGTAGATAACTCCCATCCATTCCCTACTAGTTGAGCACCAGCAAGATGATGGTTCAATCCCCATGCCGTCCATAATCCATCCCCTTCGCTGCAGGTTGTTAGCCATCTGCCGCTGGTCTGTGACGGTCTTCGCCTCGAGGCTAGTTCGAGTGGCGGCAGGTGACGCAAATCTGCCGCTCACGTGCCACGCGTGTGTCAAGACGGAAGACGGGGGATCCATGGGGATCTGTGGTAAGAAAACGCTGGGGACGTGCATGATCGGTGCATGACCCTGGATTAATAAACCCCGGAAAGACGGCTGTTTAATTGGGAGAGTACCATAAAAAAGTATTAGATGAAATGACTATTGGAGGAGTACCCCCCTAATTAATAAACCATGGTTTTATTAATCCGGGGCCCGGGGTTGACATTAATGATAAACCATCCCCCAAATCATCTGGTATGGTTGCCGATCCCAAATGGGTGCTTTATGGCATTGTTTTATCGCCCACATTATGCCATGGTAATAACCATATCTGTCACACAATTACGAGGACTTCACTGGCCGACGTCACATGGAATTTATATGGTTAGTAGAAGGTAACTATCCCAAATAGATCCAAATAACATTATTCCAGCTCCCTCCGAACTACATAGTATGATATAAAACTAGCGACGAAGTGACGATTCCGGGATGCATCCCCGGTGGAGATGTTGAGGTTGAAATCCTGGTTGGGTGATTCGTGGTTGGTTAAAGAAGGGCGTTTCAGTTGGCAACCAAGCCTTTTTCATGCCAGATGACATCAGCAGGGACGTTTTCCAGGGCGGCGTGTGTACTCAAAGTGGCTACGACATGCTACGACAAGATGGGATATTTCATGTCCCTTATTGTGAAATACCTGCAGAAAGCCATGGTTTAGTAATGAATCCATTCTTTTGGAGGGCCAAAAACGCAGGTATTCGACTCTCGGATATTGGATCCACAAGGATGAATAGCTGGAGACCAAATCCAGGTTCTCCCAACGCCAAGCAAAAGAAGTAGCTGCAGATCATGATTTGGATGGTCAAACACTTTGGCACAGCGCCCCATAACTCCCATATATAGTTTTTCTCTCAAACAATTCCATTGAACCATCACACTGAAGCATCACTGAAGCATCACTGAAGCATCCACGTTTCTGAACCCAAATCAATGGGTCACTGAACCTTTCATGTACCATGTATTTTGTTTCAAAGCGTCAGCGTTTTTCAACACGATTCCCTCCAAGGCACTTACCTTTTCAGACCTTCTCGTTTACCAACTCCTTTTCAATCTGCTGAACGATTCCTTCCACAAGCATCTCGGCTTCGACTTTGGACAGTTTGATGCACATCGGCTTGAATTTGTTTCTTTTGTGGGGCCCACATTGTGACAAGAGATGTACGATGTCTTTGAAAAGTTGGGATTAAATCAGGAAGTCCTTCCTAGAGAGCTCACAGTGACCTCACTAGAGAAATGACGCTTAGTATAGTTTATTGGAATAATCCGAAACATTGTTTGTTTTAGAGTTGTGAAGCGTGTGCATTACATATCTATTACATTTGTATTGCATATATATACACTGTTTTACACATATAATTATATGACATATATGTTACATGTATATTACATTTCTATTATACATATATGTTGCATATATATATATATATGTATATATAAATATATGTATATGTATTCCGTTCATATATATATATATTTATATTTATATTACACATATATATATATATATAATTTTCATTGCATATTACATATATATATATATATTACAAATAAATTCATTTATATTATATATATAGTATATATTTTATATTATACATATTACATATGTATATATATATATATATATATGTTACCTGCCTTATATATATATATTACATCTATTTGATGTAAATATATATATATATATATATACATAGTACTTCTGTTACATGTATATTCATTTATATCATTTACATATCATTGATATATTACATACAACATATATTTATTTATATATTATATATATACATATATATATATATCATACATATATATTATATATATATGTATATGTATATAAATATATATTTACATATACATATTCATATATATTGCTTATATTTACATATTGTATATGTATGTATGTAATAATAATCATAATATATATATATACACTACATATTCTATAACAATATTTTACATATATTCTATAATTATATTGGATATATATATATATATAATTTATCTATACACATATTATACACCTACACATATACATAAATACATGTATGTATGTGTACATTGAAGTTCATTCAATTATAACTACATGTGTACTTATATATATATATATACATATATAGATATACATACGTACATATGTGTATATATATATATACATACATGCATATGAGTGTATATATATATATATATAGGTATATATACTCATATGCATAGATTTAAGCACACACACACTGATATATTGGTACATGGAACATGAACCTCGGGTCCGGCCTCAAGGCGTGCAACTGCACCGGTGTGGTGGGCTGTAAATTTCCGGGCGGAGGACCAGGGCGCTTGCAGCCCTGCCCTGTGGAGGTCGGAGACGCGGAGACGCGGAGATGGTAGCCAAACAGGATGGCTTCACCGTTGGAGCCAGCAAAAACATAGGGAAAATCTCGGAAAATGGGAGAAACCTAGGGAAAACCATAGGGAAAATATGGGAGGTTTTTCACTGGTTAACTGTTTGAAACATCTATGGATTTATAGCTGTTTATAGCTGATGGTCGTTAAGTTGGTGAACATCTCCAATTTAACTGTCGGGTTTATGGTAGATATATGATATATGGAAGTAGCTACTATGGTTTATAAACCAACTTATAACTGTGGATAGCTGGCTATGTTGATTTAATTTACCAGAATGTAATTGTTGCCTTGATTTTGGGGACATTATCGAACTACTGTACATGGGGTTATCGACCAACAAGCATACCGTTTGAGGGCCCGCTATGTCTGTGTGAATTGGATTTTTAAAGTATCATTCCTTTTGTTATTGTGTTTTTAATTGTGATGCTATTAGTAACTCTTATCTTTATAATGGTTCATTCTTTTGTTTTTATTCTCATGGTGTTTTTTGGCAATTGTATTCCTTATCGAATGGCAATACTGTAAATGTCAACGTCTAAAATATGTAATTGTTTGGGTGAACATTGGTCATCGGTCAACTGGTCTTGAAAAATAGGAGATGGATATGTGTGCGTTTTGTTCGTTTCACCCTTAAGAAACGTACTATATTCATAGTATATATATATATATATTTAAATCCAGCCTAATTTAGTGAATGCAGCATATTTAATCAACGAGATATCTGTTTTTTTCTATCAATGGAACTTAAATAATCATATGGAAGATGATGGAAGTATGAATAACAACTCATAGTTAACCCTTCCCAGTGATATTAAACCCACAGCACCTTTATAGGATGGAAACCATCCAGGATGGGACTGATGGGACTTTTGGTGGCCGGCCAAGATCCGACATGTTTTACCAGATATTCGGAGACTTAAAATATACCCGGCCTGGTAAACGTTAACAAAAAGCTATTGAACATGGCCATTTATAGTGAGTTGTCCCATTAAAAATGGTGATTTTCTATAGTTATGTTAGTTTACCAGAGGGTACATAGCCTCTGGTAAACATACAGAAAATTATGGAACATCACATTTTTTATTTGGGTAAAGCACCATATCCCATTCGTTTTTGGGGTTGAAGCTGCCAACTCGCCACGGCAGGTCGAAGCTCACTGATGTCACGACACCGACTCTGGTGTCGCAACCTTCAGGTGCAGTTTTCAATTGTGATTTCACCTACAATGTGAGACCCATCCAGTTATAAGTTGTTTTATAAACATCATGAACTATAGTTATGAATTATAAGTATCATAAACCTTCATTGTTGGAGTTATGTTCACCAACTTGGCTATCGAACTGGGACCCCACATTGTAGCAAAAATGAAATGCAGTGAATTTCACCCAACAAAAGGGGAGGTTTAAAAATTAGGAGGGCTAAGTAAAAGCAATTGGCGAAGATGGGTGCACCAGCTGTTTTTTTGGTGCCGTGCAGTGTATTGTTCTTGTTTCAGATCTTCCGTGGCTTTGTCTCTGTAGCTTTGTTACAAAGCCCGTTGCGAAGCATCCGAACTGGGCGGACGGTGTCAGGCATATCTGTCACATGTGTGTAAATACACATGTATGATGTATTTGTATATAATCGTTTTCTTAGGTATTATACCATACATGTATGTGTATACATGTAAGTGTATATTATACATACGTAGATGTAGTCTCATATATATATATATATACACGTACATGTGCATCTATATTAGGTTCATGTATGCATATTTTTTTACATATTATACATATGTTCCCCTCTGTTGAATAGGATATACTATCCGGCAAATTAACATAGCTATCGAAACTGGCGATTTATATATAGATCCCAGATGCTTCATGTATGGAATATTTACCTACATTTACCCCAAAATGGCACAGTTTTATAGGTAAATATTCCCTACGTGGAGCATCTGGGGATAATTGACCCATTAAGAACGATGATTCTTCCATAGCTATCTTAAAGCACCAGCGGAACTTGTTCCGCAGGTCATTCGTGATCTTCCGTCGTCAGGCACGGGTAGAGGTGTTGATCCATCCACGTTAATATCATTAATAAAAGCCATAGTCAAAACGTAAATATATATATATATATATTTAGATATTTAGATATATGACACATATTTATTATATACATACATTGATATGTGCGCATGTTCAATACCGAAATTTATATTCATCAACGTTGGTGTTGGATACATAGTTGGGATTGAATTGTACTGTAGATGATTATATTGCAACCCTTTAAAATGAAGGACATGTGTAATCTACCATGGGATTAGCAAGGTACAGCGGAACCGTTAGATAAGAACCGATTAAGAATTTTCCAGCCTACCCTGGGGCTCTTAAGTGCTATAAGTGGAAAATATGGGAATTATGAACGAGGGTACCCTCAAGTTCTTAATGGGTTAGATCTTAAGGGGTTCATATGGCGAGGGTTTTGCCAATTCATTTTGGCGTGGTATTAGGTTGCAAAGGAGGTGGGGGGAAGAAAAACGGATTTTGGGTCCCGAACAGTTATTTTCAGGTGCAGGCATTCCAAACAGAGATATACTGTAGGCTCAGATATTCCACCATGCCAGGGCTTGAACGTTTATTTTGGCGTGATATTAGGTTGTAAAGGAGGCGAGGGGAAGAAAACAAAATTTTAGGTCCCGAAAAGCATTTTCAGATGCAGCCATCCAAAACAGAGCCAAGGGGCAGATACTCCACCATGCCAGGGCTTGAAAGTTCATTTTGGCATTGTATTAGGTTCAGAAAAAGTTGGTTGGAAAAAAGGCTGTTCAGGCCCCGAAAAGTTTTTTCAGGTGCAGGCCTTCCAGACAGAGCCAAGGGCCAGATATTCCAGCATGGCAGGGCTTGAGTTCATTTTGGCGTGGCATTAGGTTGCAGAGGGGGAAAAAAACTTTCAGGTCCCGAAAGTTTGTTTTTGATTTGGACGCCCGAAACAAGGCCGCAGAGGCAAGACAAGCCAAGAAAAGCCAACACAAGCCAAGGGCAACTTCCAAGGTCAGATGACCTTCAGTGAGTCCGGCTGGTGTCTGGCTGAAGCTGTCGACGTCAGCTTTGGTGACTACGTAAGAGTTTGAATCTCTCTCGGGCCGCACCACGGGCATGGAAGTTCCGCGGTACATAAGCCTTCTTTTTGGGAAACAGCTGCTAATAATCAATGTTTGGTATATTGATACCCGTTAAAGGGGAATAAGAACCAGTGGCTAGAATTCCAGGGTACCCAGGGTTCTTATTTCAATCAACTGACAGAAAGGGTTGAGTCCAGCCATCAAGCCCCTGAAGTTCTTATCGCAGTAGGTTCTTAAACAGTGGTTTCACTGTACCCTACCCAGCTCTCTGGCAGGTTCCGTGCTGCCAAGGGTCAGAGCAAGGCGGATTTGGCGGGCTGGAAGATCAGGTGAATCGTCCTCAAATGGCCATGTGATGTCATTTATTTTCAGGTGAGTGAGATACTCTGGTTTACCCAGGTTGTTAATTGTATCTCAGATTGGCCATGTTCTAGTATGCCAGCTCACAACTATGCAGGGGATACCATGTCACACGAATGCGATAACAGGAGTAGAATACGGAAAGATGTGGTGTGTTCAAGAAGGGAAGCGACCCCAGGCGCATTCTTTCGTGACACAAATAACATAAGAAATTATTAGTTCATATGAATATGATCTGTTTTGTTGTTTGTTCATAATTTCTTTAATTTGCTGATATTCCAACCAGCTGTGGTGTGCATACTTGTCAAGGGAGGGCTAATTTGGGGCGCCCCCACCTCCTTGTTTCCTGACGTTGTGGGCCAAACCTGTATCCACTATTTTTTGCATACATCACATCCCATCTTGTGATCATTTCTGTTTGTCGTATTCTTCATGTGAGATGCGGTCAAAATAAGTGTAGACTACTTTAGTAAGGGAGGGCCCAGTTGTGTTGAGAAAGTGCACCACACCATGTAAAGCGATAGTCCCCCCAAAAAAGCGATAACTTGTAACCATATGAGAGTGCATTAAACTTGGTGCAAACCAAGCAAATATTGTTGTGTGCCTTCACGCGATGTGCAAAATCGAGGAAGAAAATTCAACCTGCAGTGCCCACGTTTCTTGCAGTTGCCATACCGTTGGTGTCCAAGGTGATTCAACCGTTGCTTTTTGCTGGCAGTTGTTTCTTCTCCCAGGTCCCAAAGCAGTAGAAGTAAACTCAACTATATGAATGCAACCGAATTCTGACTTAAATTAAAACATAGTTTTAATTTTAATTCCAATTCTGAATTCCGTTTATGTGCTTTACTTTAATTTGAATTGCGTATTCCTTTGTTTCCTTTTCTTTGTCTTTCCTTCCATTTTCCTTTTATTTCCTTTGGATTTCTGGAGTAAACCAAAACTGAGTTTGAATCCAAGTCTGCATTTCATCAAATTAATTACTGCATTTCCCTTTTGTATTCCTTTTGTTTGATTTGTCCTTTCTTCTTCCTTCGTTTCCTTTTCTCGTTCTTTCCTTCCTTTTTCCTTTTATTTGTTCAACTGTCATTTTGGTTCCACGTTACGTTCCTTTTTCTTTTCCTTTCTTGATCATCAAGGTGTTCTTATTTAGCGATAACCTCAGCGATAACCTAGCGATAATCTTGTGTTGAAAAAAAGGAACCCCGGATGAGGGACAGACTCATTTGATCCCAACAAGAAGAACTCAACAAAAAAAAGAACAGGTTCTCAACCCTAGGCCATCAGGTTGTTTTAGGTCCCATCTTCAATTTCTAGAGCTTTTGAGCTGGGAAGTGTGGTGTTTTCTGACGCCATGGCTTATCAAAGAGGGACAATTGCGAGGTGGCCCTTTTTTGTTTTCATAATGATCTTATAACCGTTGGGAACCATTGAAAGAGTCTAGCAATGTGCTTAGATAGCTCCCCAACATGGTTGCAAACGCAAAGACAACGAGCGCCCCTTAATCCATTCCCAGCAGTTTAGAGATCTGAATCCGCGAAATCGATTCCGCTGCATGTTTGCATCATTTAGAGTTGATTTGAACAAAACACTGTCAAGCGATAGGCCCCCCCAAAAAAAACGATAGCCGACAACCTATATTTTCGTTCCGAGCATCAGCAATTTATTTTGACGGCGGCTAATGTGTGTTTGCTACATCAACTTTGATTCCAACGGTTGTTTCACATTGTTCTGGTGGTTTACTCCCTTTCTTTATGTTTCCCAAACCCCCAAACCATTTGGAATCATGTTCACTCTTTCATCCAATAGTTGTTTTTTCCCTACCTTTGTGAGATAAAACTTAGGCCAAAAGCCAAATCAAAGGAATCATTTCTTTTACGTTTTTGTTTCGTTCCATTTTTGCTTTTTGATTTCACTACATGTTGTATATGTTTTTAATGTTTGTTTTTGATGTCATTTCATTTTTTGTGGTTTCTATTATTGTTTTAGTGACTTTTTAATGATTTGTTTGTTTCATGTTTTTTAAAACACGTTTTTGTTATTTTTGTTTTTTGCTTTTTATATGTTTTGTTATTTTTTAAAATCTGAAAGCAAAACAAAAATACAAAAACAATTCAGAAAATCATCAAAACTCATTAAGCAAAAACTATTTTCATATTTTTTGAACAGACATTTTGATGATTTTCAAAAAGTTGTATGCTCATTAAAGAACATGTATATATGTTTATTTTTGTATTTTTCATTTTGTCATTTTTTGATTTTATTTCTGTAATGCTTTTGTAAATGCCAAAAAACAAAAATACAAAATCATTCAAAAATAAAAAACATTACAGTAACATATTCATTAAATAACATACAAGTTACATAAAACAAAATGAAAACATATGTTATTCCTAATGAACAAACATTTTTAAACAACAACCATAAAATGCTCATAAGTTTTGTAATTGGTTGTGATTTTTTTTAACGATGTTTCATTGTTTTTGTTTGGAAAATCATACGCTGTTCATCCAATTTGTTATTACTTGTGATTTTTCGTGACTTTTTCAATGATGTGTGTGGAGTGGATTTGTCAATGCTCATATTTTTTTAATTTGTTTATAAAAAAATACATTGCTTTCAAAACAAATGCACAAACACCAAAAAAACATGTTTAAAAACAACATTAAAAAATCATTTAAACACATCATTTCAATAAAACAAACAAACAACCTAAAAAATGAAATGAAATCAAAAACACATTTAAGAAAAATAAACAAAATCTGGTCCATAAGACAATCATAAAAACATTTTTTATAATGAAATAATAAATTATTTATGTTAACCCCTTTTTTAACCCATTCCAAACTCACAACCCTACTTTACTCCCATTTTCCCACTTATCACCACTTCATAAAACCAGAATAAATAGTGGTTGTAATATGTTGTAATATGTTGTAATTTTGTCATGGTGAGCAAACAAGACCCATTGATCTTTCCATTTGTCATCACTCTTATCATCCAATGTTTTTGTTGGAATTCCCCCATGGCTTCTCCGCATGAATTCCCTCAGGCGCCCTGCGACCCCTGTGGCTCCTCGGCTGGATGCGTGGCGCGAAGTGGGGCACCCAAAGATCGGAAGCCCGGCAGAGGTCTAACCATTGAGTCGAAAACCATCATTATATACCATGTTTGTTTGCCTCAGACATGATATTTACATATCGTAGTTTTCATGATATTTAAAAATATTTACAATGGTTTGATATGTTTTAATTATGAGTAACTATGGTTATAAATTGTTTTGCTGATGGCTTATACCATGATTTTATAATGGGTAAACATGGGTATACCAACGTTTATGAGCATGATCATGATGTTTAAATAATGATTACAATCCCATTGCTTCCATTGGCTAATCATTATCATTCCGGTAATTAAAATGACCGTACTGACACTGTTTTTTTTGGCCCATTTTCGGTGAAACAATGGTATGTGTTTGACAATGGGTTTGCCTGATATATTGTCCAAGAAAGAAACATGAGCGACGCTCAGCACCTGTGTGATCATGTTTAGGAAGGCGACCCTTTTAAGGATCTGGCGCAAGTAGAATTCTGGTGAGCGTAAGCCAGCAGAAGCTCCGCGTAAGTCAAGCCTTACAAGCAAAAAACCTGTACGCGCATAAGCAAAACGTAAGCAATGGCGCAAGCATTTCCTTATATATTTGGTGCCAGGATACAAGACATTTAGAATTGGTATTTATCATAGATAGCGTATATCGATAGTTAGATGGGTTTATAAACCAACTTAGGCAACTGTTCGGATGATATTTTTACGACTTTCCGGTAACTTAAAAAATACATGCGCCCTCCAACAACAAGATCGTTTCAGATCCTCACAGCTGACACAGCCTTATTTTGACGGGACGACTATGTTCCCATTTTTATGCACATCCATAGCATATGTTTTGTTATATCATTTTTAATATCCCATGATTTTCCATTCCGTCACTACTCTGCACGTTTTTTTTTGTAGTATATTTGCATTGTATATATCTATATTTTGTGAATATTCATAAAGATCGACAGAACAATAAATAGATAGATAGATAGACAGACAGACAGATGGATAGATAGATAGACAGACAGACAGATATATAGATAGACAGATAGATAGATAGATAGATAGATTAGATAGATAGACAGATAGATGAATAAATAAATCGATAGACAGATAGTTAGATAGATAGATAGATTAGATAGATAGACAGATAGATGAATAAATAAATCGATAGACAGATAGTTAGATAGATAGATAGATAGGGTAGAAAGATAGATCCATAGATCGGTAGATAGATAGACAAGATAGAGCAGATTGATCAGAAAGATAGTTAAATTGGTACAGGAAAGGACAGAATAGACAGGATCTTATATAATAGATAGGATATCATAGGATAGATAGATTGGATAGATTTGACAGGTTGGATAGATTAGAAAGATTGGATAATTTGGTTAGGTTAGATAGATCAAATAGATTAGACATATTCGATGGATTAGATATATTAGATAGATTAGATATTTTGGATAGATTAGATATATTCGATAGATGAGATAAGTTAGATAGATAGATAGATAGACAGAGAGATAGAAAGAGATAGATAGAGATAGATAGAGATAGATAGAGATAGGTAGGTAGGTAGATAGATGGTCATACAGAGATAGATGGTCATACATAGATGGTCATGGATAGATGGTCATAAATAGTTAGATGGTCACACATATAGACGGTCATAGATAGATGGTCATATACCGATGGTCATATATAGGTGGTCATATATACATGGTCATAAAAAAAGACTCATAAAACATGCTTATATATATAGGTGGTCATAGATAGATGGTCATAGATAGATGGTCATAGATAGATGGTCATATATCTCTCTATATATATACATGTTCATAGATGATCATAGATAGATGGTCATATATATAGATGGTCATAGATAGATGGTCATATATCTATCTATCTATATATACATGTTCATAGATGATCATAGATAGATGGTCATATATATCGATGGTCAAAGATAGATGGTCATAGATAGATGGTCTTATATAGATGGTCATAGATAGATGGTCATAGATAGATGGTCATAGATAGATGGTCATAGATGATGATACGACTATCCCTGTTGTGGTTGGTAACGTGTTTCCCTTTTCCAAAACCAGTCTCATCCCCAACCATCGACTGCGAGGTGCCATTGGTGCAACCCTGGAAACCATGGTGTCCGGGATTATCTTGGCACGGTAAAAATTGGGATGGCGGTGCGGCGGTGTGCCCTTCGAACATACAGAGATTTAACCAGCAAAATCCAACAAACGTATGATTGAGTGATATGTTCTGTGTGTTATATTATATCTAGATCTAAGATCTGTTTGGATTTATTCAAAGAAAATCCAATAGATATACATTAACATTTGGGGATCTTGCAATTTTGTTGGATCTCCGCGTTAGAAAAATATCTCAAGTCAGAGGGGACATACCATCAATCCTCCCAACGGGGATCAACTATGGGATGGATTTGTCGGGGGATGGGGGATACCCCAAAAAACCAACCATAGTCCCCCAATCCATGGGGATTTACAATCCATCAATCCATCATTTTATGGGAATATCCATGATTTTATGGAAATATCATGGTCATTTTTAAGGACATATCATGAAATATCATGAAACACGTACATTTTGTGTTTCATGTTTGTCGGAATTGGGTGAGCTCAAACCAAAAAATAGACAATTCATGGGGATTGATCATTCACCTGCCCATTTTACGGCCAACCTCAGTCAGGTGGGGTTTTTGTATTATATGTTTAAAAAATACTCCAAAAGATACACGTGTGCCACTTTGGTTTAGATTACACATATAAACCGTGGAGTTTAGTTTTGGTCGCTGTTTGGTTTAGGTGGAAGGTTTTTCTCGACCAAAAGATACACGTGTCCCACGTGTCCACGTCTTCTGGCAGTGCGTCAGGTCCCAGACATTCGGAACTTGATGCCATTTTTCTCCAGTTTTTTCCAATGCTAATGTCTTGATGTTTGATGGTCAAATATTCATAGTTCGATAGTTGGTGCTTTGGGACATGAATTATTTATTTTCCCCAATAGTTGGGATGATGATGACGATGATGATGATGATGATGATCCAACCTGATGAAGTCCATCATTCTTCAGAGGGCTAGGGCTCAACCACCAACCAGTTCAATCGTTGATCATCCCAACAGGGATGTGGACAGGACATCCGACTGTGCTACTCGTCTGAACTTTTGGGTGAAATCCCCATTGAAGTGATGTTGTTCCACGTTAATGTCCACAAAAAAAAAGTGGTCATAATTTATTGGGGTATAGATTTTTTATGTTCAGACACACCCACATCATATTCTTGGCAGTATCCCATTCATTCCCAGTATATCTTCAGTATATCCAAATATATCCAATTATATCCACATTATACCTCCATCACAACCCGTCAGCCAGCCTGAATTCGACTTGGCCCAACAGGTTCGCACTGAACGACTTGACTCAAGTCGAGTCTCGGATGGATAGTTTTGTACTTCGATTGTTTGCATAAAATGGGAATACGCACTATCAAGCAAAACTATTTTCCATAATATATGGGATGTCATCCTTCCCATTGACGAACTCATATTTTTTAAGATGGTTATTGCACCACCAACCAGAAAAAAACACATGCAGAGTATCAAGAAAAGCTTGGCCATGAGTTTGGAGTGTTGGGTCTCCGTCGCCAGTTGAGCCACGTTCTAAACCCTTGCGTTCATGCCTGGGAAGATTGGGAAGGGGCCCCCTTGTAAGGGTGTGGCGTAAGCAAAACTCTGTTGATCGTAAGCCAGCGTAAGCTCAGGGTAAGACAAGTATCCATGCAAGCAAAACCTGTGTGCGCGTAAGCAAAACGTAAGCACTGGCGTAAGCATTTCTTTATTTGGTGCCAGGATACAAGACATGTAGAACATGGTTTAATTGGGCGTATCCAATGTCAGAATAAAAAAGGGTCAGCATCAGGTAGAATTTGGGCACTCATTCATTTAAATAATGAATTCTTCTTGTTGCTATAAACGGGGCATACCTGCATGGTGGTTCTCGTGGTAACTTTTTAGGAAAGTGCCACGTCTGGAATGATTTGAAGCTAGTAAATAAATAGTCACTTTGGTCATCACCACGAAGACGCAGTAAAGCCTAGTATATGACTGGGTATTTTTTTTGGTAGCTTAAGTCTCTCCAGTCCATAGAGTCTAGATTTGAACATTTGTGGAACATACTCAATATGCCCAGTTAAGGAAGCATTTGCTTTAAATTGTACCTGTTCTTGTTCGTATATCAACCAATGGTTTGGGCTGGTGGTTTTCCGGGTCCCAGGAACCTAGCAAAACCACCGGCTAGTCATTGCTGGTATCCCTTTCTCTTATTTGGTATCCCTATCTGAAAATCACGATACTACATTCAGAATGATAAATCGATGTTAAATAAGTTGTAGAGTCACTTTAGTAGAGTGGCAAATAATCATCTTCAACATAATTTATACTTATACCCAGATGCTCCATGGTGCTGGAATATTTACCTACATTTACCCCCAAAATGGCCCAGTGTTGCAGGTAAATATTCCATACATGGAGCATATATATTTATATAATTTATATATGGTCCCGTGTCCCTGGTTCCCACCCCACCCCCATGCCCAGAGCTTCCAAAAGTCCTTAATTAAGGTAGCTACCTTAATTAAGTGATCTGGAGGTTTGCCAAAAATCATGGTTTTGGAGGCCTTAATTCAGTGATCTGGAATTTTGGCCAGATCACTCAATTAAGGTCTCTGGATCTTTTGTTTGTTCATTGATATTTTTTTGATGAGACATTGATGAAATCATGTTTGCTGTATCTTGATCTCCTTTGAGGAGATCATTGGCTCAAACCAAGTTTTCTGTGCCTTGCATGCCCAGAAGGTTGGCAACCACACAGGTGCTCCTGGCTTGTTTTGTTTTTCTGCAGGCTTGCAAGTTGAACCTGCACCTTGGTCATCATAAGGGGGAAAAGAGATGTAAGGGGTTCAAAAATATGTAAAAGTGATAGCCAAGGAGTATAATATATGGGGGAATATCAGGGGTGTAACAAGTGGTAACCAACAAAGGGGTGGACAGATGTTTTTTTTTAACTCCACTCATATGTGTGTTGTTCTGTTACCAATCATGTCAACCAACAAACAAACAACCTCAAAGAAATATATGGACAGATGTACTCCTCAGAGGAGTGATGTTTTAATATATTGAAACATGTATTGATATAAAAATGTGTTCCCTTTCATTCCTTCCCTCATATTTGTGGTTGTTTCCTTCTATCCAGCAGCCATGCCAGGCGCAGCCCCATGCCACTATGTGCAACATCTCCTCAGAGGAGATGTCTGGATTCCCAATGGGTTCTGGTGGACAGGGTAGGTTGAGTTTGCATGTTTCATGTTGCAGTGTCTCATTTTTTCAGTTGTCTATGTCTCATGTATTAGAATTGAAGGTATCAGAAACAAGTACTTGGTTGGAAGAGGTTGGATTGTGTAGCATTCTTGTTGAACTATGTGGAAACTGTGCAGCTCTTTCTGGCTCCAGCCAAGCAGGTGTTAAATGCCAACACTGATGGCTTTGGGAAAGATGCTTAGGGAAGGATTCGACCCAAGTGCTCCAGCTGAGATCTATGAGAGGAAGAATGCCTTCGTGGAAGAGACTGAGGCCAGGTCTGGTTTTTGTTTGAAACAAAGTCTCATGTCTCAAGGTGTTTTTGTACACTCCTCAGTGATGTTTACCTTGTTTGGTCCACATACATTCATTTGTGATCAGAAGCACTCCTCAGAGGAGTGATGCTCAGTGTTTTTTTGCTCACATATACATTCATTTGTGTTTAAAAGTCATCCTCAGAGCTTCCATTTTAATAAGCCATCCTTAGAGGAGGCTTTGCATGCCAGGTACAAGTCGACAAAGAAGATGGCACAGCTCGTGTACCAGCAGAAGTCTCTGATGATGAGCCTGCAGGAAATGAAGGTGGAGGAAATGCACCTGCTGGAGGAAATGGTACCGGAGGTGAGGGGGGAGGAAATGACACAGGAGGTGAGGGGGGAGGAAATGGTGCAGGAGGTGAGGGGGGAGGAAATGGTGCAGGAGGTGAGAATGGAGGAGGTGAGGGGGGAGGAAATGGTGCAGGAGGTGAGGGGGGAGAAGGAGATGGAGGAGATGGAGATGGAGGAGATGGAAAAGATAATCCTCAGGATGAAGACAAAGAGGAAGACAAGGAGTTTGACGAGGAGAAGGAAAAGGAGAAGGAAAAGAAGAAGCAACAGGAGATGCTCCAAAAAGAATTGTATAGGAAGCACATGATGGATGAGCAGGAGAGGGGAAAGAAAGAGTTGCTGGAGCAAGTCCTGGCAAGACAGGCTGCAGCAAAAGAGGCAAAGCGATATACCCTGCAAGAAGCAGAGCAAATAGATGCAGATTTGCGTGCAGCAGAAGCAGCTGCTGAGGCTGAGGCTGCAGAAACTCCACTGATCATAGAGGATCTCGAAAGTGGCGACATACAGGAGCACCCATCTGTGCCTCCACAGCCATCTGTGCCACCACAGCTGCACAATATGGGAAAGGAGTACCAGCAGGCCATTGCCCAGGCAGCCAAGAAAAGGAGAAGCAAGGGTGTCAAACGAGTTCTGAGTTTGCATGCTGCAATCATGAATAAGAAGGCTAAGGGCCAGTGGGTGGGCTCAGACAATCCAGTGCCCAACCTCTCCCTGGACCAAAAGAGCTGGATGGACCAAAGGGTCCAGAAGGCAATTCAATCAGCTCCTTGGCGCAGACAGTAGCAGGAGTACAACTGGCAGCAGTGGAGGTCTGGTAAAGGACCTGTGCAAAGGGACAGACACGCTGAGCCGATCTTCCAGAAAAAATGGTCCTTGCTGCTCCTGCTCTTTGAAGTACAAGACCTCCTCAGATGAGGTCTTGTAGCTAATATCTCAATTGGTATCAATCTCCTCAGAGGAGATGATTTGTTTTTGAATATCATTGGAAAGAATCAAGTCTGATTTGCACAAGCTGCCCAACATTTAGTCAACAAAGATTTGCATCCCCCCATTCACAACAACATCTTCTTCCAACCCTTGTTGCGCTCAGGCCAGACCCTGCTGCAGAGAGCTGTGTGGATCCTCAAACTGTTGACAATTGTGTTGAGTGCAGTAGTGTTTCATATCTTGTTCCAAGTTTTTGTCTTGTGGGATTGACCATCATGGAGTTTCTTTTGCATTGACTTGGGATGTAGTCTGGTCATCTAAGAAAGTGGCACTCCTCAGAGGAGTCACTACCCACCCCATTGCATCCAAATATATATTCAAAATGCACATGTATCATTTCCAAATCTATGTATATGATATGAATAGAGTCAGCACCCCTCAGAGGAGAAATATTATATACTGAACCCTTCCACCAAACATGCAACATCTTTCACATGTCAGCACTTGGCAAGTCAGGTTCAGAGGCAGCACAATGGCTGGGCTACCAATGGCGAGGGACCCCAATCAAATGTGTCATGGTGGAAGTGTTGGATCAGAAGAATTCCAAAACTAATCCTCAAAAAAATGTTGGTGTTAAACAACGTTAAATTTTTAACATGTTTTAACTTTTTAACTGTTAAAAAAACTGGTTTTCAATTGATTTATATATATAAACCTAGTTTTTCAACAGTTAAAACATGTTAAAATTTTAACATTCTTTTTTTAATACAAATGAATTCAGCAATGCTTTGCTTCCTGTTTCTTGTGATCTTGGTGAATAATATATGTATCTTTGCAAAGCTGGTATTGGTTCAAATACACGATTCATTCTGCTGCCACCATGGGAAAGTCAACTGCTGTGCCCAAGAAGCCTGTCAAGGAAAAGGTGAAGACCAAGGCCAAAGCTAAGGCTAAGGCTGCTAGCCAACCTTCAGTGGTTCAGCCTGTGGAGGATGCCAATGATGTTTCTAGGTCAGAAGTTTCCAAGTTCATCACTGCCCTGAAGTACAAAGCCAAGAACCCAAAGGATCCACAAGCTCAGGGTGCACAGATGGTCTTGGAGGATAGGGGTTGCAAGAAAAAGTAAATCTAAATCTAGATCAGCATGAGCCTATATGTAAATATATAGCAAAGATGTGATCAATTAGACCTATACATTTTTGGTTGATCTTCATCATGAAATTGTTGAACTCCAACATGCATGAAACTTATTCTGTTTTCATCATCAGTGCCATTGAAACCCTTGCCCTGCAGAAATACAATTCCATGTCGCCAGATGAGAAGAGGGGCCTTGTGGCCAAGTACATTGCTGGAGGTGGGATCAGGGGCAACCTTCAGCATTCTCCCCAGTGTGGAATCCAGCAGCTCCTCTAAGGAGACTTCCTCTCAAGTTATTGAAGGGTATACACCCTTCAATAACTTGAGAGGAAGTCATGTCTCTAGGTATAGTTGAAATACATTTTCTGTTTCCACTAACAATTTTTATGGATTATACATAACACTTAGGCCACCCCTTTGAGGAGTGATGCGCAGAGTTAGCAGTTTTCTTTGAAGAGATACTGTAAGTAGCCATATATCATATAGACACATATGTATATATATATATATGTATACATTACTTTTTTAATATATACACACATATGGATATATACATATATGCATATAGTCTTGCACCATCAAGATATATACATAAACCACATCCAGCATTTAAAACAGCATGCATTTTGCATTTTCAGCTCAGGTCTGCTCCTGAGATCTTGATGCACAATGGGTGGAGCTGGGCAGATCTAGAGCCTGCTGACAGGACCAAAATCTTTGAAGATTTGTTCAAAGACTGCTATGAAGGGGAGGGGACCACCACCCAGCAGGATCCACCACTTAAGAAGGAACATGCTACCAACCCTTTGCTGAGCAAGTACTACTACATGCACCGACCAGAGCAAGCCACTACCAAGGAAGCAGAGCTCCAGACACCTGAGGTCAGGGTTGACAGAGGTGACATTCAGGTCAGCAAGATGAACCTGGCTTTGGGTGACAAAGGTCCAGACATCAAGATTGAACCATTTGCTGAGTGCCAGAGCTCATTCAAAGTGGTGGACAGTGCCAAGACCAAGGTGGCCAAAGAATATGAGGCTATCATCACTCTCTTCAAGGATCTCAAGGCTATGCACCAGAACCCTGGCAAGGACATGATTTGCGTAATGACCTTGCTGCTTCCAAGTTGGAAATTTCCAGTGACATGGACCAGGCAAAGGCCAAGGCCCTGTGTCAGAAGTTGACAGACTGGAAGGAAAAAGGAAGTCAGCACCTAGATGGGCTGAAAGCTTTGAAAAGGAGAATCCAGGCTCTCCTTGAAGGCTAAACTCCTCTGAGGAGAAATCCTGCTCTAAACTCTGACTATGTGTTTTAGCAATACTCCCACACATATATATACATGGAGCTGTACATATACAGATATATAGGATATAGGGTGCAGAGGAGGATGTAGCGGTTTTTGCACTTTGAAGTGAGGCTACAGAGCTGGTAACCACAAGGTGAAAAAAAAGTTGCCTGTCATTGCCTGTTTTCTTGTATTTTCCTGGAAAGACCAATCATCAGCCAGTTTCTTTTTGGTTTCTGACGGGACACTCCTAACAGAAGCTGGATTCTTTCCATGCACCCAGGTAACCCATTCCTGTCTTCCTGGAGAAGGAACAACTTCTCACAGAAGTTAGAGGAGATTGGAAATGTACAAAAACGCATTCAACCTCAGTGGATGGCCTGGCACAGACAACATCTGCTTTAGGTGCTATGCCACCAAAGATAACAGCAGGGATTGCACCACTTAGTTTGGAGGAGCCATGCAGAGAAAAACGACCATGGATCATTTTGTTGATTGCATAACAGAAGGAAAACAAATATCTGCATTATTTTGCGCCAGGCCTCCAGATAGATTGCTTTGCTATTGGTTGGCTGCATGCTTGTGACCTGGGAGTTGCCCAAGATTTTCTAGGGAATTTGATTTATTTCCTCCTTGATAGATTTCCTGGAGCCAGCAAAGACAAGAGGTTGAGTTCTGCTTTTAGATCCATGCAATCTTTCTACAGAAGAAGTTCAGTGGACAACAGGCTTGATACTTTGACTATGGGAATGCCCAGGAAGACTGGCAAAAAAACAAACAAAGTCTCAGCTCCCAAGCTTAGAGCATCTGCTGGAGAAACCAGGCCTCTCATACCATGGAGCTAGGAAATTGCAGAGGCATTGCTGGACAAGCCCAACACATTTGAACACACCATTTTCCATGATTGAATGCAGCCTGCTGTCCAGAGACCTTTGGAACCCACAAGAATTAGCTACAGCAGGACAAAGATTCCTGCTACTTTTTCTCTCCCTCTCTGACAGCGATCCTGAAGGGATGTTTTGGAGCTTGAAGCACAAGCACCACCTCTTCCATGTGAATTTGATGAGTGCTGCCCTTCTCAGAATTGGACATATGAAGATATGGGAGAACATTGTTTGCCATTGATTGTTTTCTTCTTTTTTCCCTTGATTGATTTTAATTAGGTTTGATGCCACAGATCAATCACATCTGAGGAAATTACAATTGCTTCAACTTCCAGAAATACATTGTACAAATTCATGTCTCAAGACGAACTTCCAGAGTGGCCTGTTGCATGAAGAGGAAAAAAGGAATTCTTGCGAAGAAGGCACTAGCACACATTTGTTTTTTGTTCCTCTCTTTGCCCATGACCTGAGACTTCATGCACAGGTGCTTACTACATCTTGATTTGTTCAAGGATATGAAGATAAAAAATTCCTGAGAGAAAGATTTCTACAAAGAGATGAGGAAAGAAAACCTCCTCAGAGGATAGTTTCTGTAAAGAAAAAGTAAGATCTCCTATGAGGAGATTATTGCCTACTTTTTTTTGCAAAAAGTAAAACTTTCTAAAGGACAGCAGAGAAAAAACATATGACAAGTTTGACACAAACTTAGCCATTATACCACTAAAACAGCACCGAAGCCAGATCACTTAATTAAGGTCTCCAGAAGTTCCTCCAAAAGTCCTTAATTAAGAAAATCCTGGAGACCTTAATTAAGGTATCTCCTTAATTAAGGACTTTTGGAGGCTCTGGGTGGGATGGGGGGGTATGATGCCCCTGTGGTGGTGTATATACATATATACAAGCATACATACATACCTACATACCTACCTACCTACATACCTACATACCTACGTACCTACGTACCTACGTACCTACGTACACACATACATACATACATACACACGACACATACCTACCTACCTACCTAGCTAGCTAGCTAGCTAGCTAGCTACCTACCTACCTACCTACATACATACATACATACACACATACACACATACACGCATACACGCATACACACATACACACATACACACACAGACATACATACCTACTTACCTACCTACATACCTACATACCTACATACCCACGTACCGTACCTACGTACCTACCTACCTACGTACACACGTACATACCTACCTACATATCTACATACCTACATACCTACGTACCTACGTACCTACCTACACACGTACACACGTACACACGTACACACGTACACACGTACATACATACATACCTACCTACCTACCTACCTACATACATACATACATACATACCAACATACCAACATACGTACCAACAGACGTACCAACATACCAACATACCACAGGCCACAGGGGGGGGGCCAGAAGAACCATACCACCACCACAGGCCACGGGGGGGGGGACCAGAAGACCAGAAGAACCATACCACCACCACAGGCCACAGGGGGGGGGACCAGAAGAACCAGACTATACTGTCCACCCATACCCATTGGTGGGGGGGGAGGGGGGGTGGCCAACGCTGCACCATATATATATAATATATATATAATATATAATATATAATATATAATATATAATATATAATATATAATATAATATATATATAATATATATAATATATATAATATATATATATATATATATTAATCGTAGCGAACGTCCGACGCTCGGTGTGAAACACTGCAGGGACCGTTTCCACCGCTGCCGTCGCAGCCACCGGATGCGTATCGCCTGAGCCTGGGGAAGATCACGGACACCTTGAGGCGGGTGCTGGGGCCAGTATCCCATTAATGGCCTGTTAATAGTTAATAATAATAGTTCACTATCATTAATGATAGTTAGTGATGGTTAATGGGATAATGGTAGTTCACCTATAAATTTGTTATTATCATGAAAATTAATTGTAGTTAGTTAATTAGTGGCCTGTTAATAATGATAGTTCATAATTCATAATGATAGTTAATAGTGGTCTTTAACGATAGTTAATGATGTTTAATAATGAATAATGATAGTTAATGACAATGATATTATTATATTATATTAACCATCATTAACTATCCTTACTTGTTGCAGGGGAGAATAGTAGGATAATCATGGTATAATAATGGAATAATAGTGGGATATCTAACTAATGTAGGTAAAACAATGGTATAAACCATCCATGACTGGGACTGGTAACCATGCCACATATATTTATGGCGATGACTGGGGGATGGTTTACCCAACATGAACTAACAGTTTGCTATTGAGAATGGCCCATGTAGTTCGCTGATTTACCCATAACAAATGGTGATTTTCCATAGTTTTTTGTATGTTTACCAGAGGATAAGGATTTTCTGTTTCTGGATTTCTCCAAAACTCAAGTTTTACTGTTTTTTTCTGCAAAATCTGTTTCTTTGCTCTTGTGCGTCTCTGCTATTTTTTTCTGTTATGTTTTTTTTGCTTTTTGCCTGTAGTTTTTTGTTTTAATTAGTTTGGCTGCGCTGCTTGTTTGTTGTTGTTTCTGCTTTCTCTGCTGTTTTGTTTTTTTCGGTTTTCTTCCCTGTTGTTCTGCTTTCTTAGGACTACAACTACAACAAGAACAAAAACAGCAAGAACAACAACAATCAAAAAACAAAAAGTCAACAAGAGCAACCAGAGCAACAAGAGCAACAACAGCAACACGAGTAACAAGAGTAACAAGAACAACCACAACCGCAAAGAAGGGCGAGAACAAGAACGAAGTTGTCTCTGCGTTGCTTGGTCTAGATTGTAGCATCATAGGCAAGATAATTCAGGGGGAAAAACAACTATATATATATATGTTGAGATCTGATATTTATGTCTTTAGTAACCTCAGAACAGATGGTTGCCCTGACTTCACTTGGACGTTGATTCTTCGACCTTTTTTTGTGTTTTGTGTTTGTATAACTCTTTTAATTTGTGTTCCAGTTCAGAGATCTTATTTGTTGGTTGCAATGTGTCCTAAGTTTCGAGAAGTATCTTGTCCCATTCGACCATCCGTTCGAGTTTCACAAACCATGGATTGACCACCATTCACAGCTGTACTGTACTTACAGGTGCAGTTGGGGTTATCAATGGTGAGAACTAACCATGGTGATAACCTCCATAAGTTGGTATATGGGGGTGTCCTAAAATGGGGGTACCCCCAAATCTATGGTTTAGAATAGACAATCCATGACAATCCTACTAAAACGGATGATTTGGGGATACCACTATTTTAGGAAACCACCATATAACTGAAAATATCACCCCTAATAACTGTACGCTTAGATATAAACTGGAACTGCACTGCAGCAGTGCCGATGTTTTTTGGTCCTCCACGAAATGTCGGTGTCTGAAATGTAAAGGGGGATCCCCAAGAATTTCCCGCGCCAGGCTGGACTATGAGGCGAGAAACGATTCAGCAAAACATAGGAATATTTGGGATGATAAAATGGAAACACGGCCAACATTTGTTTGGGGTAAACATTGGGATATTGAGCATGTGTATATATATATACTGTATAATATATACATACACAATACATACAAATACAACCAAGTTAATGTGATTTGGGTTTGTTTCAAAATCGGCTAAGTCGTCTCTTTTGGGCGATTTTTTTGGTTACAGCGACAGTGATGACAAACACAGGTGGCTTTAAGTGACAAGAACTGGTTGAAGGGGCTTACCACCTTCCATTTTGGCTTCTTCAACAACGAGTGAAATAGCACCAGACAAGAATGGAGAAATACAGGACAAATAATATGTAAATAGCTACAGTACTATAGAAGTGTGACTTTAACAAAACAAACTTAATGTGCATCATACATCCAACAACTTTATAAGATTGACGTTCCGTCACGCCGTCAGTGCATCTTGAGATTACATTGCCCAATACAACAGCCTGGTACCCGGGCCCAGAAACATTGAACGTGTACTCCTATTCACGACGTCAAGATGTTCCTTGAAGCACAAATGGCTAGTAGGTTTAGGGAGTATCAGTCTCATGTGTTCCTTGCCCGAAATGATTGCCAACATTTTACGCCAAATACATGTCCTGCTGCAGCCAGTTGCTGCTTTGTGGTTTTGAAAATTGTTGGTCTCGATCCCTACAATGTGGGGCCCCCCAGTTGTAAGTCGGTGTATAAACCTATTAACATCTATTAACTATAGATATAAGTATTATAAACCTTAGTTATTGGAATTATAAACCAACTTCATTGCCTATCGTTTGGGGGCCCCACATTGTAGTTTTCTTGGGATAACATATCCAAATCAAAGAAACACTTCGCTGCAGCCACATCGCCAGTTCGGCAGGAGTTCTTTGACCGAAAGCCAGATTTTAGCATATATGATCCGAAGCTCGTCGTTTTTCAGACAAGAAAGATCAGTTGGAGATCAGTTGGCATTGACTGCTGGGAATGGGTGTTTTTTTGGCAATATATGATTATACACATGCATATACATATATATATATATAATGTATATATATAAATATATGTATACATATAATATATTATCTTGTTTTCTCCTCAAACAGAGTAATTATCCCAAATTGAATGATTTATCACCACTTGGATTGCCATTTGGGGTACAAACAACTTCTGTACAATCCATGGCAAACTCATATATGGAGGAATATGATATCTATCAGAATCTATCTAAACATTGCGGTATTTTTTTGGGGGGGGCTGTCCAAGGTTGGCTCTGAAGATAATCCAGAGCAGTGTGATTTTCTGCAAGCTACCGCTCTATGGGCCGAAAAATGGGGACCGTGTTTTGGAAAACCAGTCACTTTGTTTGTGTTAGTTTGGGGGTCTCATGGTTGGAGCCAGATCATATAGCCAAACATATTTTGACTTACTGAAATTCCAATGTTTTGTATACATATTGATATATGTATGTATGTAATGTATTAATGTATGTATGTATGTATGTATGTATGTATGTATGTATGTATGTATGTATGTATGTATGTATGTATGTATGTATGTATGTATGTATATATGCATGTTGTTTTCACTTCTTTAGACCTATGTTGTGGGGTGTGAAACGGAAAGTAAAATCGTGGTAAGTGTTATTTTGATAGGTTATCAGTTAGTCAACGAGAGGATGTACAGAATATTCTACAATCTGATTAGCTAAAAGTTAGTTTATTATGAATCTCCAAGCGTATTTATATTCACCACCATAGAACATAATTACACAAGTTGTAAATCAATGTAGCAAATGAGAGTGCACCCCCCTTGTATAATATTCTGTCATGGTTTCACGTTTAAAGGGTATTGCGGCATCCTTGCTTTTTTTTACTGTTGCAACTTCCTGCCGCATGACTTTGTGTTTGTCGAAGGTGATGTTATCAATGGGACATCAACATCCACCATTTGGAGAAACTACTGGGTTATATATATATATATACATACATTATACAGTGTGACATGAACACATGATATAATAATGCACAATGTAGCATATAACATATATAATATGTTATGTATTGCGTTTGATCTATCATACAATGTAGTGATGATTGGATATATATATATATAACAAAAATGAAACAAAATAGTACAGTACAGCATAGCATAGTATAGTATTGTATTGTATTGTACAGATTATCATAAGCTTATATATATTATGTAATGTCATCTAACATTTTGTAGATACGATATATACATTGTGTCCAAGGGCGAAACGCACAAAACCCAGCCTTCTTTTTGGCCCAGTCAGGGCAGTTGTGCTGCAGCTTCGAAAGCCCTGGAGCGAGCCGAAGCAAATGGCCGGCTGTAAACAAACTTACGTGCCATGGCTTAGCCCATGGTGAAAATGTAAAAAAAAACATGGGAAAAGCCATGGGGTGAGCCAAAAAATGGGAAAAACCATGATCTTTCAGGGTGAGTGAAACCCACATCTACAATGGTATATTTTAATATAGGATGGAGGCTAAGCAAGAAATGAGGCATATATCATGGGGACATCAATCGGAAAATCCTTGTGATTTTGCCGAACATGTGTGATAGAAAACCAACTTATGTGAGGACATAGGAAAGAATATACCCGCTGGGAATGACAAACAGTTTGCGAACTGGAAGATCACCATGTTTGATAGGTAAATCATCTATCTACTTGCCATGGCTACCAAAGCTGATCTATGTTCTTGGAGGATGGTCAGGTTATTTCTTTGTTTGATGAATCCATTGTTCAAAATAGTTGATCTACAATATTGGACAATATACCATCTGATAAACTAACATAGCTACATATAGAAAATCACCATTTTGAATAGGTAAATCAACTATAAATGGGCTATTTTCAATAGCTATGTAACAAATTACCAGAGGGTACCCATTATTTTGGATTCGCACTGATGATGTTGGGATGACCATAGCCCATGAAAAAAAGGCGTCGCAGGTCGGGCAGCTCCGGTGTCATCAGAACCCGGGAAATCACTGAACGAAACGGGGTTTCATAAGCGGGGAACATAAAAAAGAAGCTGCATTGAAATTTTGTAGCCCAGAGGATCCATGTATGGAATATTTACCTACATTGACCCATAAAGTAATTTAAAATAATCCCAATGTAGGTAAATATTCCATACATGGATCCTATGGGTAGAGGATATCCCATTGCCACGTTTGACTACCGGCATGGTTTAGTTGATCCGACATGTTGCTCACTGGTTTAGTGGGATGTCAGAATGCTCAATGGAGAGTATTCTATGCATTTTAATGATCGCACTCCTCACCAGTATTTCCTGGACATCACTATTCAATTTCCATTTATGTCACAAATATATGCATCAATTGGGTTTTCTGCTCAAGTCATCCTATATTTTCACATGAGTTTCTTTCATTTTCCCAGGACTCCATGGCGCCCAATCTCGCTTCAGGTGGGGATTGTGAAGGCAATGCGCACCTTCTGCAAGAAATTTCTTCACGAGGGTTCAGACCTTTGGCTATTTTTGGGGATGATACAGGGCGGATCATCTCCAAAATCACCAGATTTTAAGGGGGAAATCCACTCTAAATGGAGGTTTCAATGGGATAAAACCACTATAAATAAATGGATGTTCAGTAAGTAATGGATGTTAGTGGATGATGAGCAGATAATTGTTGGATAATTAATGAATAACTGGAATAATGTGGTGAAACAGTGAAACCGATAATAAACAATTCCCATGCCATCACCATTTTTATGGCTGCAATTTAAACCATCCCCAGTCAAGGTAGTTGTTCAGTTGTTCATGGTATTTTGCTTAGGTAAATCCCACATTCAACGCAAAAAGGGGAAAAACAACAAAGTGCAATATATGAAGCACATTGAAGCACTAATTAATTGAACTATCATTTGGCCATATTTGGCCAGTATGTCAACATCATGCCAATGCAAGAAGGTAAGTTTTAAACGTATCCAATTCCCTGGGTGACAGAATTATTTTGGTGGTTGTATAGATTCGCGACCCTTCAATTCACCCGTTGACACATGTTGACTTCGACTTGAAGATCTTCCATGTGGTGCACACGTTTGGTGTTCCTACATCCTTGGAGCCATTGACCCCCAAGGAGCCAAAAATCATCAAACATGCAACACCACCACCACCACCACCACCACCACCACCACCAGCATCAGCATCAGCATCAGCATCAGCATCATCATCATCATCATCATCATCATCGCACATGGAACATGTATGGAGAAAAGAACACGGGGAAAACACAACAACTAAAAAGTACTATAAGTTCTTCAGATGTGTTTGTGTCCCATTTGTTGGGGTTATCCAGTTATCCACCAGCAGTTGCCATGAGGAAAATGGACCGCAGTACCATTGGACATGGAGAAACACGATGGACAAAGGGAAACCATCAGTAAAAACCACGACACAACCATGCACATCCCAAAAAATATCAAAGCAAATAGATTAACCAATCATCTAGAAAATATCATCATAGGTTATCATGTATTTCATACATTATCTGAGAACATCATTTAAAGTCCATCTTTTGTTGTCCCATCTTTCAGGTGGAGTGCCAGGTCTGCGATGGTCGACCCTATGGTGTCTTGACTGTTCCGAACGCTGGTCTGGTCTGATGAAGTTTTTGTTAAGCCATTGGATATCCATTGAAATTCCTGATAATAGGCCTGAAATACCAACTATCATCAATATATTATATATATTTTTTTTTCCCCACCTGTCAGGTGAGGGTTGTTAGATTTCATGTCAGCTGTCCCGCCTCCTCCTTCTTCTCCTTCTCCTTCTCCTCCGCCGGACCTCAACTGCAAGCGCTAGATCGCAGCTTTCCGCGCCGGACCCGAACAGCAAGCTCAGGATCAGAGTGTTCCCCGCCGGACCTCAACCGCGAGCTCCGGATCAGAGTGTTCCCCGCTGGACCTCAACCACAAAGAATCTCCGAAGATATACCAGATAGAATGCCAGATAGAATGTCAGAAAATATGCTTGATAAAATGTGATTGCCAGATAGAATGTCAGAAAATATGTCAAACAAATGTCACTTGTTGGGGATCACTCGAAGAAAATAATTTGTGTGTTTTTTTGCAACTTTTCAGACCAAACCATGTTTTGATTTCTGATACTCGTCTTTGACATTGGGGAAACTGACTGGTGAAGCATGGTTTTGTAGGGTTCTTACATTGTCCATGCAACTATGATCCCAATTAAAACACCCACATAAATCATGGTGAGGATGAGGAGAATCATTTCGAAATTTGTTTGTTTCAATTTTCGAAAGTACTGTAATTTGTCCGAATCCGTTTGGTTGTGTCATGGTGAGTCGTGATATATGGACAACACATATTTGTATGCCCAGTTTTGATTACATTCCATTTTTAGTTCCCACTTTTGCTGGTTCCTTTCCCCTGTTTGATTCTTGTCGATGCTGACATTCGCACACGTTTGTTCCACCGGAAAATTACCATTTGACGGTATACAAGTCTTTTGATGACCATTTTTGACAGTGAATGACATCCATAGTTTATCATGGTGAATGCTTGCATATAGACACACACAAAAGGTGGCAGATGGCTAACTTGGTTTCTAACTGCGAAGTCAAACTATGGTGACTATGGATGTTTATGGCATATATATATATAATTATATATTTATATATACAGTATACATCTGTAATTAGTTTGTGGGGTAAAGCGACTTGCATAATGTTTGCAGGCCCACGTTCTTTGGGGCAGGGTTACCATTTTTCATCACATCTGGGTGGAATCTGAAAGTAGGGTAGCCCAAAATCCAGTGGTTCATTTTGAGGCTATAGGCCCACTTTAAGACACACCCATCTGCTTGGTTGGTTCAGAAGTTCAGGCTGCGATTTGCGAGTGCATTGGACCTGCAAGGGTCACGTCAATTGGATAGGCCGCCTGCCACACTCGTGGATCTGTTGTGGATGACCCTGGTGATAATCCATGAAAATCATTCAAAATCTATAATGTTTCTGGATGTTCCCCTGGAGGTTCCGGAGAAGTGTCTATGTGTTTGATTTGAGGTTGTCTCTGTAGTTGTTCATGTACTATGTCTCAATCCGTATCGTCGAAACCACTCAGAAGAGTATCAACCACCAAATCCTTGACCAGATCGACCTTTAATTTTGAGAAACTCGTGCTTTCAGAATCACCATGTTGACTCTATTCGTTTGCTTGTGGTAATACCAGATATTTCCATCTATCCTCAATCCGCTGGCCCATTACAAGGTTGCCATGCTCGTGAATCTGTGGTGATGGTCTTAAAGGACCCAGGGAACTAAACATATGAATCTACTGTAGCAGAAACTAAAGACTCAAACCCTAGCTTTTTGGTTGAACATGGACACAGTTTGGTGTTCGATATGTTCACGCAATGAGTGATGAAAGTCTAAAGTCTATCTCACTCCAGTCAACCGCTGAACCGTCCACTGATTTTTTTAATAGATTCACCCCCCTTTCGTTGACCCATCGATTCGTCCTTGACGTGGTCCTTGGTGGTTGAGATTTGGTGGGAATCCCTACCCAGCGGGCATCACGTGCCAGGTGAAACATCTGTTATGATCTCTGCCATATCTCTTTACACTTTGAAGCACTGCGATGTAGCTTGGACTGATGCTATTGAGGGGTGGGACATGCCCCAATCTGATTGGAAGAAATCACAAAGAGCTTGGGGCATCAATTTGACAGATGTGACAAATGACATTGAAATTGGTAATCGGAGGGTTTTTTGTTTTACACCGATGGTTTCCAGGCACTTTACACACTCTGCCGTTTTTCATGTGTTTTCCTTTCTGACTTTCTCTGGTTGGTGGTTTGGAACATGAATTTTATTTTTCCATCTAATAGGAATGTCATCATCCCAACTGACTAAATCATATTTTTCAGATGGGAAGTTGGGATTATTATTCCCAATATATGAGGGGTAGGTCAACCACCAACCAGGTCTGTATCTTTGGCAGGGTTTGCGAGCATGACTGGGAGGTCCCACTTGGCTGGGACGATGGGCTTTTGGGCGATAACGAATCGATTACAGTACAAGACTTTATAGCAACACTCCCCCCCCAAAAAAATGACACAAACTCTACTCAGATAGCGGTAAATTGAATGAATGGAACCGGTTCTATATGGGTATGGGTCAATACCTATTAATACAATTTTTAGGGGGATGAACATCCATTTACCAGCTATTTTGATGTTCACCAGGGGTACAAGGTTTTGACACACTGCCATATCTTTTTGCGGGGATACTAGTTTCTAATCTGAGCTAACTGCTGGAATCTGAACGAATGCTGGAGCGGAGCTCCAAGTTGATTTGGAACATTTTGGAACTAACGGAACATATGTTTGATTATTGGGTGAATAGCCGTCTAGATATGTGTAGGTAGCATATCGCTACGACAGGAAGGAATAGGTTGCATCTACTCAGCTACTCTTTTCTGATTCCCCTTCTTTTCTCCCCCTGGTTAGGAAATCTTCGGTAAGGAACCCTGGTTGGACCCCACTACTTTGCGATTATCGGGAGCCTAAGAAGGACCGCATATTATATAGTACATATGGTGCGGAAGCTAAGGGTCTTTATTTTAGTTAAGATATGTTTAATTGAGGCGAAATGGATGGATTAATTTCTTGTGGTCCTTATATGCTGCAAGAAAAAGCACTAAAGGTAGGATGATCAAAACCACTAAAAGCCGCCGAAAGCCGCTAATCTGGATGTATCACGACTAAACAAGCCTCCCAGAAATTCTTACTTAACTAGTCACTGGAATATATATTTTTTGATACATGCTGTAAGTGAATTCTGATTCCTGCCCACCACGAGTGTTTTGGCCTGGGGAACCAGAAGAACTGCTGGTTTGCCCACAGGGACTGCAATGAAGTGATCTCTGAAATTGTATTACAAATGGATAATACAAACACTAACTATCACTCTTTATTGGAATGGGTTGATGGAATTGGTTTACAACTGTGCTTCAAATTCCCGTGAAGAAATCAAAATCAAAGGTCTATGACAAGTGTCCATCTTGGTACCGACTCGTGTTTCAATTCTCATGTGTGGTTGTGTGTAGCGCCAACTCACCTTCTTTTCAAAGTCAAATATCATTTTGTTCCATATGATTTTTTCCCCCCCGGTTGGCTTTCGTTCTTCCTGGCCAAAGTCACTAGTTGTTTTAGGGGTCACAACTGGGTCACAAGTGTCATATGTTTCATCGTTCCTTGGGGCCGTCGCAGGATGTGGACGAAGACGAACTCGCCTGGCGTGTTCATAGTCACATCATCGCCCCTGGATGGGATGTTCTTACGGGGGAAATATGGTCAGGTTACGGGTAAGGAAAAAAACATGTGACTAATGTGGTTAAAAGAATGCCATAAACCATCCCAGTCATCACCATAAATGTGTTTTCTATCAACCATTCCCAAATTGGTGGTTGATTATTGTTTTAACCACATTAACCTTAATGTGTCATAATTTGTGTAAATTGCTCAGTTTTGCGGGGATAAGTTGTCAATCCATCTCGAAGTGATGGATTGTCATTATCTATGTTGATATCAATATCATTCAATATCAGTAGTGATCTGTTACAGTAATCCTTGTGTTTTCGCTTATGACCATAAAATTCTTGACCTTATACCTGGTTGGGGGATATCACAAAAACCATGTTGGAAAGCCCAATCGCGTAGCCGCAGCTGGGTAGATCTCCAACTGAAGCATGCATCTATCAATCAATCAAACAATCAATAAAACTACATTCTATGATATGTATATATAAATAATTATATATATATATATGAACTTTAATACATGATATATACACAGTATATAATATATATATATAGAACATAATGTATATAATATGTAATGTATATACAGTATGTAATATATATATAATATATAATATAATATAAATATATATATATATATATTATACAATATATATTTTGATATATATATATATTATTATTATTATTATTATTATTATTATTATATATATATTATATTATATTATACTATATTATATGTTTAATATTATATATATATCATCAAACACACACATATAATACTATGATATATATATATATGATATGATAGTGTATATATATAATATGTTATACGTGATTAATTTTTTATATTTAATTTAAATAATAATATTTAGATTATATGTATTTAATAGTTTATATAATTAACATACTATGTATAATAATATATACATATAATTGATTCAATATACATATTATATACAGTGTAGATATATATATATATATATATTATACGTGATTTGATTTAGTTTTATGTACACAACGCATAGACTGTTTAGACATGAGATCCCGAAAAAACGAGTGCATCAAGTCCCATCTTTCAGGATGTCACCGAAATTCGACCCTGCTCCTTGCGAAACCAATTGATGAACTCAGAGGCCCAATTCGACAGAGGGAAAATTGGTGGGAAACGCTACAGGTTGGAACAGCCCTAGAATTCAAGACAAACACTTGACTTAAATACTTAAATTACTTAACTTGTAAAGGGCTGTGGTAATCCATTGCTTCCCTGGTTCTTTGAAACATGTTTCTAGTTTGTTTTCATGATTAACCCTTGCGGCTTCGTGGTGCAAAGGTGTCACGGTTCCGGGCGAAACAAAAACAACAGCAAGGGTCCCGAGAAATGGCGATGTGTTGATTTGGATGTTGGCAGATGCACATGTTTCTTGCTCGTGTTATCCTTACCGTAAGGGATGAAAAGCATCCAAACATATCCAAACATCACAAATTGAGGTCAACGCAAGATACACGCTGATAAATCTTCCAGGTGGCAGATTGCTGGCTTCGATTTTTGGTTGTTTTGTTGCGACTTCTGGACATATCTCTGCGAAGGGTGGGATCTTTAGTTTCTGAAAGAAAGATGATACAGCACTGTAATTATAACTATGACCCCCTTCCTGATGATTATAGTAATAGTTTGCAATCCTTTTGTTGAGAGAATTGAGAGATATGCATGCTATGCTGGAGTATGTTTTTTTGGTTCGCATGGCCCTTGGTGTTTGGCCCTCGGGCCGCAGGCTGCTGAACCGAGTTTGATGGCCTTTGGCGTCGACGGATGATGCTTCAGTTCGAGAAACCACAGTTTTTAGCCATCAGCATATGTCAAAACTACTAAAACTACTGGCATCATCCTAGTAGCTGATAGGTAGATTCCTAAACCCGTTGAGTGGTGTCTCCACCGTTCCTCGTGTGGCAATGGTCGAGGCTCCAATTTAAGCTGAGTCTGCCACGTCCTTTTCCGTTGTTCTTTTTTGATGGAAAAGGACCAGAGAAGCACTGTTTCTTCTGTCGGGTAGCCAACTTGGACCTACACTCATTTGTCAGTCAGTTTCAACATCCATTCTGTTTGATCGAGGGTCGGGGTCTGAGTTTGCTTTCAGCGTTTGAAGGATCTACAGTGAGTTTGTACGGGGATGGTTTGGGTTGCCAGAGATGCTGTGCCTGATTGTTGGTGTGTTGCTAAACAACCATTTTCCCATATGATTCAGTTGAAACTGGACACGTTTTGATTGGGTCCCTGGATGGAAAAACTGGACGTGCCGACCCGGCGAAATCTTCTTGGAGAAATGGGCCAGGATTCTGGCTGAAGCATGGCGATGGTTCAGCATCAATTTAGGCCATTTTAATGAGGAACATGATGATCAACCAGAGGTCATTTGGCGGGGTTTTCCGGTTTTCCCAGGCCGGTTGTCCCAGAAAAAGAATCAGAGCCATGGAGGATGGGAGGTTACGGAGTCTTCTATGTGATCATATTAATACATATGATACAGATATAGTAAGCATTATATAAGAATCATGTATCTTGTTTGAGGTGAGGAGATATGATGTGATTTGATGTGATTTGTATTGTAGGGTTCCCAATATCTTTGAGTTTTTGAACCATGTTTGCAGATATCTTTGGGACTGAAATCCTTCCCCAACTCCATGGTCATCTTCAGTTGCGTACATGATGTTGAGTTCCCTGACCTTCAAAACCTGGGAAACGATAATACCCAAGTCTCCAGAAAATCGATCTTATTTATTGCTCTCTTTCTTTATATACACATATTATAATATATTATATACATGTGTAGAGAACTATACAGTGTTGGCATTCTACATAGACCATGTTCCAATCTGTCCATTGCTTCGCCGTTTCGCTTGGTCTCCATGACGTGTACAGAGCGCAACGCAACTCGTGAGCTGAACACCAGTGAGGTGAAAATGGCATAGCTGGAACGCTGTCGTGTAAAACAACATGTAAGATATATCAATTGAATCAACATGAGTCCATATGAATTTATATGAATCCGTATGAATCCATATGAATCCATATGATACATAATATGATACATCATATGATATGATACATGTATATAGTATACGTATGTATATAATTGTATATATATATATATATTATGTTTAATATATGTGATATAAAGCATTCTTCACACAACCAGTTCATGTATATATATATATATTCATATATATATATGATATGTATATATGTTACTGCATATTGTATTTCTTATATATTATATATGACATCAACGGGCCAAATGTGTCAAGGCTTCTTGGTTGTAAACGGCCTTCTGAGGATAGCCTATAGCTGTAGACCTTCAGGCCGATACATAGTGCTGATAAATGCGTTGGTTTATAACCTGATCTAACGATAGATACAGTATAATTAATATATATATATATATATTAAAACCCTAGTTATTGTACTGTAGTTATATACCAACTTAGCTATCTTGGGGCCCCATATTAGAATTGGTATTTAGCTAACCGTGAAACTGTTACAATCCTTTCACGGTACTTTGAAGGTCTTGATGTAGACAATGTAGACCGTGCCTGGATGATAGTTCAAGACCCTCTGTCCAATATGAATCTTGGGTATGCACATGGCTGTGCCGTATCCATTGAACTTCCATACCTCCAAACAAAACACACACACGCGTTTTGGCTACAGTTATATAGTGCATGTCAACAGTCTGACGACTGATTTCATGCACGTAAGAATGTCCTAGGCCACAGGCCAGAGGCATTGAATTTGAAGATTCCACTCACCCAGAGAAGATCCGATTGGACCAGAACTTTTGAAATGGCTCTTTGGTTGACCAAAAAATGGCCACCAAGTCATGGCTTTTGTCCATGGATTGGTGTTTTTGGGATTTTGGGTCACGATGAAAGAATTATTTTCTATGCCCTGTCAAAATCTCGGATGATTGCTGGATGTCATAGCAATGTTTCGGAAGGATTTTTTAAAACTGTTTTACCTCCCAGTTTTTGAATCTGAGCGGTTCAGTCTCAAAGTCGTGTTTCGGAAAGGACTTCTCGCTGGTCAGTGGAGATGAAGAAAGCTGCCGTTGCTACATGACTTTGGTGGCATGGCAAGGTGAGGGTGTCATAGGCAGAAAAGTAAAAGAATCCAGCAGAAGGAAAGACAATCGAAATGGTGGAATAAAGTAACACTGATTGGTTGCTGCCATATATATGTAGATTATATATATATATACATACATGCATAAATCCGGACGTTTGCCCAGGGCCCACTCCCGTCCCACGAAATCAGGTGTTTTTGTTCACCAATTTCCGAGGATCTCTGTGAGGGGCCATTACTTGTTAAAGGCGGGTGGTGGATCACTATGGATCACTTGTTAAAGGCGGTGGCTGAACCCAATCGATCCTTTTCTAGTGGAGTGGCAGATTTCAACCAATCTATAGCTATGGCTATAGTCTATCCCTTGTGCCACGCGGGGCGAAAGAGTGACTCTTGTCACTTGTTTTTCATGGTGGCGGTCAATCGGTTCACCATTTGAGACCCATTAACAAAAACACATCTCATCATGTTACATACTATTGGATATTTAAGATATTTAAGGCTCAAACACATGCAGAGCTGTAACTACAGGATGGAGAAACTGATAACTTTCCCACACCACAACGTTACCAGAAATGCTGGTTGAAACTAGGCAAACTTTACCAAATTGCCGGTAAAATGTGATGTTCCAATCAGACACAAATTTCATCAAATTTCCACATATCCTATCCATGCTATTTATACCCACACTACATTATGATATGTTGATATCCGTAATGTATATATATATATGTATCAGCTTGACACCGCTGATTCGAAGCGACACCCTTGCAGCAGCACCACTCGTCGTTCATGTGAGAACAGCTCCAACCGTGAAAGGCGGAATCGGCACAGGCCAATCATGGCCAATCTGTTGCCTGTCAGCGCAGGCGGCTCGGTGTGTAGAGGCCAAGAAAAGGAGTGCCGCCTGACTGTCGTTCACGACTCAGGATTTGACCATTGAAACTTTGCCATCTTTGACCGAAACTTGGGATATCTTGGGACTCATGATTTATATCCATTGGAACTTGGGGTTTAGCAACAAAGATTCACGTTTCACACTGAATTGTAGGATTTTGATGACACAAAATTGGATTGAATGAAGGATTGGAACTTTGGCTTTGACCAAAAGAAACCCTGGGAAATTGGGTTGTTTTAGCAACCCTCCAATTCACAGGACAACTCTGCCTCGCGTTTGGGGTGATTTTTGTTGGCTTCCTTGAGATGTCACTTGGAATTAGGGTTTCCCCAGGTTGGAGGATGCGAATCGATCCCCAAGTGCGAAAAGAATCTCAAAACCCATGCCAAATTTTCCAGCTAAGCCTGGATTCAATATGCTTCAGTATTCTCAGCTCAATTCTTCCAACTGTTGCTGATCAAAGGAGCAATGTTCTGGCTGAACAGAGACTTTTTCTCCAGGAGCAGTCATGGCTGTCGATGATTTGGTTTATTTTCTTACTGGGAAATCCACTACCACTGAGGGATCTATGGGGAATATGTTTTGAGGTTTCCGGATCAACTCCAAGATCAAATCCCATAGCCCAGGAGTCATGACGATTTACCATGAAACGTACGTCAAAAGCAGGTGCTTTGACGGAGACATGGAAAAGGTCCCGGACCAGGAGCTTCTGAGTATCGAGGCCATGGTTTCCGTGTAACCATGGGTTGACTCCCAGTTTACTCAGGGTACATAGTGGAGCCCCCTAGTTACAAGTTGGTTTATAAGCCCATCTAAGATCATCTAAGTACAGAGTATAGATATATCCTTCATTATCGTTCAGAAATCGTAGTTATCGTAGGTATAATCCAACTTTGATATCTCGGCGGCACCACATTGTACCAATATTTTTTTTGTGATTTATCACTATGTTGGGGACAGCCCTGCCTAACCAGGAGAGTTTGTCAATCCAGGGTTGACATGATTTATGACACTTGGATTTTTGTCAGAGCTTATGAACCATCAAGCACCACTGAAAAGGGCTTATTAAACTGGTTGGTGGTTTGGAACATGTTTTATTTTTCCATATATTGGGAATAATAACCCCAACTGACTTTCATATTTTTCAGAGGGGTAGGTATACCACCAACCAGATGTTTATTCAACCCCTTGAAATTTATAGAGAAACGATAGCCATGAGGGGGGGTAAATGGGTCATGTTACTGTTACATCTATATTTCGCCAATTTACCACCCAAACGTACCTGGGGTGTTTGGAGCAACCGAGGTCTCTGGTCGATGGTGAAAACTGGTCGAATCCCCATGAATTCTCTGGTCGATGGGGATGATGATCCAAATGACCAACATCGACCTAGGGGGTGAAACCACCAAGCAATTTGATGTTGACCCCTGGTTTCTGATTTTTTTTTGAGTGGCGCCAGTTCAATCGGCAATCATCGTCCCTTTTTGTTGCTTTACCGTCTATAGTATATATATATATGTATATATAATACATTTTTTATCAACCAAACTGCTTGAAACCATGGGGCTTCGTTTATTCAGTCCCACATGGGCTTTGGATGGAGGATGGGTACTTGGAAACAACGATGAAAAAAAAACGACATAGGTTTTAGTAAAAATCATTATATTAGATGGCATGCCTTTAATAAAAAGGCAATAATTTAAGTAAACATTGAATCATTGCTCACTTGTTCATGATACATTTGGAAATCCAGGTTTATGTGCAAAAAACATCTGGCAGGTCGGCAGGTTGTGCACTCGTAATGGTCTGTGAA